ATGCTGTTCTCTGAAAACTAGGACCTCTCATTTTTATATTACCTTGTAAGCCAAGCTATTTTTGCTCACGCACTATACTCCAACAATGTATGATATTTGGCTTTGAACACATTGATTAAGCATAATATTCACAGGTGGACATGAAAAATGAATAGGTATGAACATGAATAAGCATGACTAATTTGTTCATTTCTTGATCATCTACAGGTTTTAAGCACAAGGGTTTAAATAATTAATATAAAATTAATTCCAAGAATGAGATATTAGAGGACATAGTAAGATTAGAGACTTGGCTGTTGATAGAGAATAATTTCTGTTGAATATATTCCAACAATATATATTCCAGTTTGGTTTCACAGAAGACAAAATGAAATCAGTTTTATAAGCTCACAAGATCTTACTCAACATGAACATTAAGAATATATAAAGAATGTATATACTCATCACTTAAAATAAAATATCTTTGGGATAATTTGAAATCTAATATTAAATACAATGTGTTGTCTTGAAAGCAGTTATGGTATAAATTTTCTTTTAAATCTACTTTAGCAAGTCTTGTAATTGACCGTATAGTAAAAATAATTCACACATGATATTACACTAGCTATTAATGGCAATATATTAATTCAAATCATTTAAGAATGATCTGGAAGAAGGACATCATTAAATTGATATTATATTATCCTTAGTTTATTACAGAAGTTTATATAACAGACACAGAATATTTCTTCAAATGAAAATAATATACCCACTTTGAAATAGAGTTCAAAATTGAAAACAAACTGCTTTCAACATTAAAATCTCTGCAAATAACTGTGTACTGCAAATAACTGGGTCATTTATTTTTCTCACTAAGAAATTACTTTATAACAATGTCAGGGCCTTTGAAAACTACTTTTTTTTATATACTTCTAGCATGTACTCTGATTGGAAAAAGAGAAACAAGTTTGGAGATGATAAAAATGAGACCATATATAGGTTTGCCCAAGGTACTAGAATCCTAATTTAAACTGGATTTCTTGACTTCCAAGCAATTTTCCATATGAATGATGATGTTTTTCATCTCGGAAGTTTTTGATTAAAGGTAAAAAAAGAAAGGAATGGAATGGAAAAAGTGGAGATTTACTCTTGCAAAAACATATGCTTTTGCTTCTGGCAGTTATTTCAAATAATACATATTTTTAAGTAACTGTTGTTATTTGAACTGCACTGGTTGCCAGTTTATTTATGAGTCCCCTTCAAGATGTTGGTCATTATCTTTAAAATCCTTTATGGCATGTGTCCAGGGTATCTGAGGAGCTGCCTCATCCCAATGACATTTGGCCTGCCCCACATACTACAGTGGAAGAGGCCTACTTCAGATTCCCATCTCTCAAAGAATTTTGACTGATTGGTGCTGTGGCCCTTGCCCTCTGGAATATTCTACTGTTCAAGATGAGATAAATCAGAATAGAGCTGGAAGGGACTTTGGAGGCCTCCTAATTCAACCTCCTGCTATACCATTTTAGACAAATGTCTCTTCTTAAAAACCTCCAATGATGAAGCACCTACAACATCTGAAGGCAAAGCTATTCCACTGGTTAATTGTTCTCACTGTGAAGAAGTTTTTCCTTAGTTCCAAGTTGCTTCTCTCCTTGATTTGTTTCCATCCATTGTTTCTTGTCCTGCCTTCTGGTGCTTTGGTAAATAAGTTGACCTCCTCCTCTTTGTGTCATCCTCTCAAATACTGGACTACTGTCATCCCTACCCCCAACCCCCCGACCTTCTAGAAGTGCCTTAAAACCTGACTCTGCTGACTGGCTTGTGACTGCAATAGGGGCCCTTTATGCTGGGGTGGCTGATAGAGTAGAGAGAAGATTCCCATTCCATGCTGCCTGCCCCCTTCATTTTTAGCTTTTTATTCATTTAATTTTAATCATTTTGGGTTATCTTTTTTACCCTTTTATCATTTTGTAAGCTACCCAGTGAGATGGGTAGCATGTAAATTTAATAAATAAATAAAAATAGTAAAATATTTTGGGTCTTGAAGGAGTTGACATTTACCAAAAATTGAACCTACTCCTGTTATGGAGAGCTATTGCATGTTCTTTGCTGTAAGTTCTTTTTTTGTTCTAGATCAGACCTGAGTCCAAGCTGATATTAATGAACAGCCAGTTCCTCCTTCTATTATTGTCTCCTCCTAAATGAGCAACACAAAACTGTCCATCACCTGGGAAGCTGGAAAGACATAAACAAGTTCTTCTAATAGAAACAGTTTTGTAATACCTATTACTATTAGATCAAATGGCGTTTTCTAGACAGGCCCTAAAGAACTGTTTAAGACACCTAACATTTTTCTCCCTTGTAAGAACTAAACTTGGTCAAAAATAGCCCAAGACCATTTGGGATTCTATTGAAAGTTGCATTTCCTAAGGAAAATTGAAAATGAGCAATATAACTTTGGTGAAAACACAAGATGGCTTTCCAATGAAGAATATACAGACAGTATTTCTAGGCTATATGTTGTTATACACTGCTCAAAAAAACAACACAATGTAACTCCAAGTCAATCACACTTCTGTGAAATCAAACTGTCCACTTAGGTAGCAACACTGATTGACAATCAATTTCACATGCTGTTGTGCAAATGGAATAGACAACAGGTGGAAAGCATAGGCAATTAGCAAGACATCCCCAATAAAGGAGTGGTTCTGCAGGTGGTGACCACAGACCACTTCTCAGTTCCTATGCTTTCTGGCTGATGGTTTGGTCACGTTTGAATGCTGGCGGTGCTTTCACTCTAGTGGTAGCATGAGACCGAGTCTACAACCCACACAAGTGGCTCAGGTAGTGCAGCTCATCCAGGATGGCACATCAATGCGAGCTGTGGCAAGAAGGTTTGCTGTGTCTGTCAGCGTAGTGTCCAGAGCATGGAGGCACTACCAGGAGACAGGCCAGTACATCAGGAGACGTGGAGGAGGCTGTAGGAGGGCAACAAACCAGCATCAGGACCGCTACCTCCAGCTTTGTGCAAGGAGGAACAGGAGGAGCACTACCAGAGCCCTGCAAAATGACCTCCAGTGGGCCACAAATGTGCATGTGGCTGCTCAAACGGTCAGAAACAGACTCCATGACGGTGATATGAGGGCCCAACTTCCACAGGTGGGGATTGTGCTTACAGCCCAACACCGTGCAGGACGTTTGGCATTTGCCAGAGAACACCAAGATTGGCAAATTCACCACTGGAGCCCTGTGCTCTTCACAGATGAAAGCAGGTTCACACTGAGCACATGTGACAGACGTGACAGGGTCTGAAGACGCCGTGGAGAATGTTCTGCTGCCTGCAACATCCTCCAGCATTACCGGTTTGGCAGTGGGTCAGTAATGGTGTGGGGTGGCATTTCTTTAGGGGGTCGCACAGCCCTCCATGTGCTCACTAGAGGTAGCCTGACTGCCATTAGGTACCGAGATGAGATCCTCAGACCCCTTGTGAAACCATATGCTAGTGTGGTTGGCCCTGGGTTCCTCCTAATGCAAGACAAAGCTAGACCTCATGTGGCTGGAGTGTGTCAGCAGTTCCTGCAAGACAAAGGCATTGATGCTATGGACTGGCCTGCCTGTTCCCCAGACCTGAATCCAATTGAGCACATCTGGGACATCATGTCTCGCTCCATCCACCAATGCCACATTGCACCACAGACTGTCCAGGAGTTGGGGAATGCTTTAGTCCAGGTGTGGGAGGAGATCCCTCAGGAGACCATCCGCCACCTCATCAGGAGCATGCCCAGGCGTTGTAGGGAGGTCATACAGGCACTTGGAGGCCACACACACTACTGAGCCTCATTTTGACTTGTTTTAAGGACATTACATCAAAGTTGGATCAGCCTGTACTGTTTTTTTCCACTTTAATTTTGAGTGTAACTCCAAATCCAGATCTCCATGGGTTGCTAAATTTGATTTCCATTGATAATTTTTGTGTGATTTTGTTGTCAGCACATTCAACTATGTAATGAACAAAGTATTTAATAAGAATATTTCATTCATTCAGATCTAGGATGTCTTATTTTTGTGTTCCCTTTATTTTTGGGGGCAGTGTATATAGGCAGTGGAATCTTGTCTGTTGAGGAAAAATTTCCAGTAAATTCAACTGGACCTCTTTCTAGGTTAATGGGTGAAGATTTCAGTGTTAACATTCTTAGAAAAAAAATTCACTCCTCTGGGTCTTCTATATCACTACATCTCTGCCAGAATAATAGCTAAGCAAATGGAAGAGGATGGGTACAGGCTTCAGTGCTATTTCCCTTGCCCCTCATTTTATAAAATGTGTGTCACATAAACCCCCTGTGATAATCTAAGAAATATTGCTGGAAAATAAAGATGGTTGTATCAATGTCATTTACATTTGTTCCGATGTCCATTCTATACTCTTTCCCTTCTGAATAGCTTCACTGACTGTCAGTTTGGTGTAAAAGTTCTGGTATCAGGCTAGAAACTGGGAGAACATGAGTTCTAGTTCTGCCTTATCCACATAGTCAGATGGGTTATCTTGGTCCAGTCATTCTCTTTCAGCTCTAGGAAGGAGATAATGGCAAACCTGAAAATCCTTGCCAAGAAAACTGCAGGGACTTGTCCAGGCAATCTCTGAGAATCGGACACAACTGAATAAAATAAACATAGTTCTCATTAGATTTATATCTTGCTTTTATCTTGTACAACTGAGATGTATATATTTCCTTGTGCCTTCTATTTTCCCCATAACAACAATCCTGGTATGTTTTATAAACTGGTATTACCTATGACAAAGTGCTTTTTATATTTATTACAATCATTCTGACTATTGCTGTCAGTTCCTTTAAGCATCCTTTTCAGATGAAAAGTGTTCTATATTAGCATACTCCAAACCCTGAAACCTGATTGGTCCACACGGACCGCAACCTGATTGGTCAACTAAACGGCCGTGATTGGTGCGCTAAGAATCAACCGCGATTGGCCGAGCCGATCGCGGGAGATTCAAAGCCCTATCATTGGCCGCCGAGCCGCGAGCAATTCCTATATGAAGGGTTGCCACGGCTCGCAGGTTTTGTACTGGTCTATATACACAATAAAGAGCTGAATGATCACTTTTGGTCTCGCGTCTCTGTGGGAACCGATCTACCCGATCTAACAAAAAGTAGAGCACATATCAAATATATATGGTTATAATAATAATGCTTATGTTTGACCCATACATTGCTCTGGGAGATGCCAATCAAATTGTGTGAAAAGCACTTGAAACAAAATCCAGAAGCACCCTTATCAGCTAATATTACTAAATAAAAAGCACATATCAGTAGGATTAAAGTTGATCCAATATTTTGTAACAATTCCCTTAGATGTTTTTGTTTACTGTGTGATATATCAGAGCAAGACCAAACAATTAGTGGCTTTGGATAACCTAATGTTTATGTTTGATAAAGCAGGACCAATCAATTATCTTCAAAAGATGCTGCCATTTTTTTTGCTAAGAATAATGGAATAAATAAAATCTGTTCTATTTCATTGTGCCTTTGAGGCCTGACTTTTGTAATTGTTTCTTCTCCCCTGCCTTCTTTTTGAGGGGTAGAGATTAAAATTTGAAGGCAAAAAATGATTGAGCTGCACTGTTTATGAAACTTATTTGAACTTATTTTATTGTATGAGGTAGCAGAGGTGGGGTCATTTCTATTAATGCTTGTCTAAATGAACAAGTGCGCACTAAAGTCATTTGATGATTCTGCCTCTCATAATGCTCCCTGGATCAAGCACAACCACAAGATGAGTGACATATAAATTTAATATATAATAAACTAATAGTAATCAGCACCATCAGAGAGAATGTCCAGAAGGAAAAAACAACAACCACCCAAATGAACATGAACAGGAGAGGCATACTTGGCTTAGCAATAGTACTTGTGAGAAGAATCTGAGTGTCATGGTAGACCACAGATTAAGCATGTATCAGCAATCTTCCACAGCTGCCAAAACGGCTAGAGCAATTTTGGATTGCATCAACAAAGGCAGAACATCAAAATCATGGGAAGTGATAGCATGCTTATGCTACACTGGTCAGCCCGTACCCAGAATATTGGGTCCAGTTCTGGTGGCCACAAGACAAAAAGGATGCTGAAGATCTGGAACGAATGCAGAGAAGAGCCACAAAGATGGCAAAGTGGCTGTGGTATGTTTAGCCCAAAGAAGAGAAGGCTAAGGAAAGACATTGGATGGTTTTCTAATACATGAAGTGATGTCAAGGGGAGAAGGGTGGTGTGGAATTATGCTCCAAAGAACCTAAAGGTAAAATAAGAAACAATGGGTAGAAGTTTTACAGTGAGAGATCCAATCTTGAAAAAAGGAAGAATTTCCTGACTGCGAGAACTATTGAGAAGTAGAACAGCATGTCTCCTGAAGTCATGGATGGTCCATCGCTCAATGCTTTCAAGGTAAAATTGGGCAGCCATTTGTCTGGGATGGTCTGGGGAATTCCTGCACTAGGCAGGAGGCTGGAGTAGAAGAACTCTAACTCCCTTCCAATCTATGATTTTATCATCCCATGAATGCCTAACAGAGGGTCTCTCCCACTTGCATTTAACTAGAGCACATACTCCATATATATCTATAACTTTGCAGCATTTTGGGGGGTTGTATCCTCTCTCTCTCTCTCTCTCTCTCTCTCCCTCTCTCTCCCTCCCTCCCTCCTTCTCTCTCTCTCTCTCTCTCTCTCTCTCTCTCTTCATATTCTGTGGTTTTCACGGGTATTTGTATGTGGATCTTTGGTTATTCGGGTTTTCTCCTGCGTAATATTGGAAGTATCTTGGCGACGTTTAGATGAAGTCTCCTTCGTCATCTTCAGGCTTGTGTCTTCTGCTTTGTGCTTCTCGGAGTAATGTGAGCTTGCAGCTGCTTCTTCCTTTTAAATGCTAGTGGGGATGTGACTTGATTGGTTGGGGGTTTGGCTGTGTTCTGATTGGTTGGGGGGTTGGCCGTGTTCTGATTGGCTGGGGGTGTGTTCTGTTCAGGTGGGGGCTTGGTTGTGCTCAGGTTAGTCTTAGTTGCCGGGGGATTTGAGCTGGTGAGCTGTGATCCTGTTGTTTGGCTTCACGTTCGTGGTCATGCCACATCTTCATGGTGGGCATCCGTTCGCTTCATGTATTGGTCGGAGGGGTTTGAAGCGGGTAGTGATGCAGCTGCAGTATGGCTTCTGGTCTGTGGTCGTGTCTCATCATCTCTGTGGGTGTGAGTCTGCTTTCTACGTGGAAATGTGGTGGTAGCATCTTGTGTGGCCCTCATGAGTGTGGGTCTGGTGTCATTCATCATGTTAGGTACTCATTTGTTAATGAGGGCGGGTTTCCAAATGGCTGGTAGGCGGGAGGTATCATCTCGTTTATTCATGCTGTGTGGGCGTTTTTCTATCTCTATGGCTTCTCTGATTATGCTGTTGTTGAAGTGTTCAGTTTTGGCGATAGTTCTGGTATTTTTAAAGTCAATCTCATGTCCTGTGGCTTTGAGGTGTTGGACCAGGGAAGAGGTCGGTTCTTCTTTTTTGATTGAGTTCTTGTGTTCTTCAATGCGTGCACTTATTCTTCTGTTGGTTTGTCCGATGTATGTGGTGGGGAAGGCGGTGCATGGGATTTTGTATACTCCTTGGTTTTCTAACTCGATTCTGTCTTTAGGGTTTCTTAGGATGGTGGATATTTTTCTGTTTGTGCAGAATGCTGTCTTAATGTTGTGTTTTTGGAAGATCTTGCTGATTTTGTCTGTAGTGCCTTTTATATATGGGAGGAGGGCTTTGCCGTTCTCTTGTTCTCTGTCTTGGATTTTGGTTGGGGTTTCTTTTTGGATTAGGTGGGTAATCTTCTTTCTTTGGAATCCATTGGCTGTTAGTACGTTAGTGAGAGTGTGTAGTTCGGTTTTTAGGTGTTGTTCACCAGCTAAGCATTTTGTTCTGGAGATGAGTGTCTCGGCTATGGAATTGGTCTGTGCTGGGTGGTGGTGTGAGAGTGCGTGTAGATAGCGGTTTGTATGTCTTTTCTTCTGGTAGATGGTGTGTCCTAGGGAGCCATTGGATTTTTTGTATACTAAGACATCTAGGAAGGGAAGTTGATTGTTAGCTTCTGTTTCCATGGTGAATTGTATTTTGGGGTGTAGGCTGTTGAGGTGTTTGAGGAAGTTGTTCAGTTTTTCTTTCCTGTGTGGCCAGATTATGAAGGTGTCATCTACGCATCTGAGCCAGAGTTTGCGTTTGTGATCATATTTTTCTAGAGCTTGTGTTTCAAAGTGTTCCATGTAGAGGTTTGCGATGACAGGTGAGAGGGGTGATCCCATGGGTGCTCCTTCTATTTGTTTGTATTTTTTGTCCATTGTAGGTGAAGTATCTATTGGATAGGCAGTGGTTGGTCAGATCTAGGATGTGCTTGGGGAGGTTGTATTTGTTTTGGATGGCTGTCAAGGCTTCTTTTATAGGCACTTGGGTGAAGAGGGATATGACATCGAAGCTCATTAGTAGGTCGCTGGGCTGTAAGTTTTGTTTCTTTATGATCTCAATGAACTGGAATGAGTTTCTTACATGTGAGTTGATGGATTCTGCATAGGGCTGTAGTTGTTTGGTGAGAAATTTGGCTAGGTTTTGTAGAGGTGACTATGGAGCTGACTATTGGTCTAAGTGGGGTTCCTTCTTTGTGTATCTTGGGGAGACCATAAAGCTTAGGGCATCTGGATGATTTCTCTCTGGGTATGATCAAGTCACACCCCCAATCAAGTCACACCCCCACTAGCAGTTAAAAGGAAGAAGCAGCTGCAAGCTCACATTACTCCGAGAAGCACAAAGCAGAAGACACAAGCCTGAAGATGACGAATGAGACTTCGTTGAAACGTCACCAAGATACTTCCAATTTTACGTGGGAGAAAACCCGAATAACCAAAGGTCCACACAGACACACACACACACACACATATATAGTGTTCAGCTTTGTTCGGGTATTTTCCCACGTCATTATAGTTGTGCTTTTAGTTGTAGCAACGTTTCGGCAGAATCTCATCTGCCATCATCAGGCTTCTGTATTGTGTTCGTCTATATATATATATATGTTTTCGTAGATTTTCATGGGTACAGGTATGCAGGTCTTGGCGTGTTTGGGTCTTTTCCCATGTAAGATTGAGAGCATCTTGGCGACGTTTCGACGAGGTCCCACTCGCCATCTTTAGGCTGGTGCTTTTGGCTTCGTGCTTGTGCGAGCAAAGCGTGATCAGAGCTGCCGTCTCTCTGTAAATACTGGTGGGGAGGTGTGGTGTGCTGGCTCTGTTGTAAGTGGGCTGGTTGTCTGTGTTGTTATTTCTTGATTGGTTGATGGAGTTGATGTTTGCAGATTGGTTGGCTTTTTTGTAAGAACCTGTATGGCTGAGGTACTGGTTGTGTGTCTATCCACCTCCTGTGTTGTAATGACCTGGGTAATGGGCTGTGTGATGACCTTCTGAGTTCTATTGTTGTGGCATCCTGGGTCTTGTGCTGTAATCTCTTGGGTCATTGACTGTGTTGCAGCATCCTGAGGTTTTGTGGTGTAATCCTAGAACACCCTCAAAATGTGTAAAATATTGCAGGCTTTGTCACCCATTAACTTGAATGCAAGTGAATTGATTGCAGTATTCGGCAACATAGACAACAGTGGCAAGATAGGCATCAGCAACATGGAACAGTTAATTTCATGCTGGTATAGTATTCTACTATCAACTTGACTATCCGCTAGGGAATGGTCCCAACACTACTTCTTCTATAAATAGTGCTTTTTAAAAATTTATATGTCCTCCAATTTTCAAATTTAGGGTTTTTCTAAATCTCACATTCCAGTATCCAGTAAGTTTAGATTGGAGTGCTGGTTTTTTTCCACTGGAACTTTGATGATTTCTTTTTGGTTGTATTATTTTTTTATTCTTTTAAGGATATCATTTTTGTTTGTCAGATTAAGAGTATAATATAAGAGTAGTTTCATTTAGAAGCATGCCATGCATTCTCAATGGTTGGTGTTACCCAAAACAATAAGGATTTATTTCATTTGTATAATATTTTTTTCTTTGCAGGGAATTTTGAATGATGTCCAAGAGCAAGGCCAGAAAGGCAATTTATATGAGGATAACTTTGAGAATAGGTCTTACAGAACTCAGTAGAATATATTTTAGAAGGAGCATGCCCCAACTAGAGTATGTCATACAGAGCTGCAGAATAGTATTATGTATACTGACCAAGTTACATAGATCCAGTTAGTAGATATGTGCAGTGCTGTAGATCTGACAGCCCGAAAATCTGACCAAGGTCACGTTTCTTTACCTTGCTTCAGAGCCTGTCTCTCTAATACAGGTTGTCTGGAAAATGCAGTGTTTACATTGTTTTGATGTATTGTGAACCGCTCAGAATCATTTGGAGTTGGGTGGCATGCATAGACTAGACTAGACAAAGAATCTACACCATACAGTTTTTATACCATAGACAGTGAGGGTTTAACTGACTGATCATTCCATACAAAAATCTCTCAGCACAGAGAAATCTAAATCTTAAGGGAAAACATTCTACCATCGTTGTCACATATGGAAAAAATCTTATTGGCTGTGTGGTACCAAGAATCATCTAAATTCCTCCATCAGCCTGAAAATAGAGGCAGCTGTATCATCAGAAGGAAACAAGGGAACCTATTGTCTGATTAAAATCAGTCTAGAATGCTGTCTGAGAGCTGCCCACCAATTAGCATCTGCCATTCTTAAACTACAGTTCTACATGGAGAACTGTCATCCAATCACTCATTGATTAGCTAATAACTGCTGGATCCTTCCCTCAGCTTTCCTTTAAACTAGTGTGCCTCTTTGCTACCATTTATCCTCAGTATGTCAGTAAAGGTCTTTTTGAGTTTGAGACTCCTGATTATGGCATGGTGGTAACTGATTCTACAAACTTCTCAAACTTCCAAGAGAAAAGTGCTAAAAGGCAGAGAATCCGGTGCATTTCTTCCAATGGCATCATCATAAGAAAAGGGATTTACTTTTTAAAATAAAAATAGCAATGATTACAAGGAAATTCTATGAAATAGTAAGCACTTCTCTCAATCTTTGATCAGATCTGCATCTCAGTGGGAAGTACCTTAGAGCAGTTTCTCAACCTTGAAAACTTTAAGATGTGTGGACTTCAACTCTTACTGAGGAATTCTGGAAGTTGAAGTCCACATGTTTTAAAGTTGCCATGGTTGAGAAATGCTGCTTTAGGAAGTTAATTTTGTTTCAATAATTAATTCAACAAATGCTATGAAAAGGCAGATCTACTAAATTTCCTCCTGCCACACAGTCTTCCTGTCCAGATATATATACAAAATGACAACTTTGCTATCCAAGTAATGATATCCCTCTACCCAATAGGCCATAATTCCACCAGAACTTTCAGCAGAGTCCAAGAGTAGAATCAAGAAAATAAGTTGTAATTAGAACAATAACTCTTCAGATTAATACAAGTGCTCTATTACCTCTATCGCATTCAGATTTTCTCAATTTATTGAGCTACAACTATTGTCTTGTATATCATTTTGGAAGTAAAAAAAATATCTACCTAGAGATAAATATGTTGTGCTTTTTGGTACCGGTTTAAAGTTGAATTCCTTGACTGCTTGAAATGAATTCATATTTAACTCAATGTTAAATATGTACTCAACAAATAGTCCCTAATGGTACTACATCTATACGGAGAGAAGTAAGAAGTGGGGTACTACAAAGTTCCATCTTAGGCCCTGTACTCTTCAATATCTTTATAAATGACTTATTTGAGGGAATAAAAGGGGGACTCATAACATTTGCAAATGACATTACGCTGACAGGAATAGCCATCATCCCAGAAGACAAGCTCAGGATCCAACAGGATCTTGACAGACTTGACCAATGGGCCCTATCCAACAATATGAAATGTAACATTTTACCTATGGGGAGGAAAGTCAAAGGTACAAGTACAGATTAGGCGAAATCAGGCTCAAAAACAGTAACTGTGAGAGGGACCCTGGACGATCACTTAAACATGAACCAACAGTGTGCAGCAGTAGCCAAAAAAGCTAATACAATCCTTAGTTGTATAAAGTTGTATAAACAGAGGCACAGAATCAAAATCATGTGATATATTAGTACCACTTTATAAATCTTTAGTAAGACTACACCTGAAATACTGCATCCAGTTTTGGTCACCACATTACAAAAGAGATGTTGAGATTTTGGAAAAAGTGCAAAGAAGAGCAACTAAGATAATTAAAGGCTTGGAGACAAAAACATATGAAGAACAGTTACAGGAATTGGATATGGCTAATCTAGAGAAAAGAAGGATTCGGGGTGATATGATAGCAGTATTCCAGTATTTAAGGGGCTGCCACAAAGAAGAGGAGGTCAGCTTATTTTCCAAAGCACCAGAATGCAAGAGAAGAAACAATGGATGAAACTAATCAAGGAGTGAAGCAAACTTCCAACAGTGAGAACAATTAACCAATGGAACAGCTTGCCTCCAGAAGTTATTGATGCTGCATCACTAGAGATTTCTAAGAAAAGATTGAACAGTCACCTGTCTGAAATGATATAGTCTCCTGCTTGAGCAGGAGGCTGGACTAGAAAGTGTTCAAGATCCCTTCCAGCTATTCTGATTCCAATCAGAATTCAGATTCTTGGCAAACTGATTAAGCATAAATTGCTAGGGTTTTGCTTGCACCTATGTGACCTTTTCTCCAGTTCATTAATAACTTAAAAAAAAAAAAAAAGCTACAACTAACATTTTCAAAAGAAGCAGATATTTCTCCCCAGTTCCGAAAGGCCAAAGGAAATAAGACACAATACATCCAATTATTATGATTTTTTTTTGTAAAGGTAAATTATAGGCACACACCTATGTGATCATGAGACAATTAGAAAATAAAGTACAGAGATGCAAAAGCAAAATATACATATTTTGAGCTCAAAGAAATATGTTTCACATGGAGTAAAAATTCAACTGGCAGCTGATGCACAAGAATAACTTTCATTTATCTTTAGGGGTCCAGGCTCACTCAGAATTTTGGGTGAGAGGCCTTGAATTTAATTGCAAGTTAGGATATCAAAACTATGTAAGAAGTTTAACCTGTTTCATTATAAAGTAAATTCGTTGCAAAGATTTTGAATTTAGTGGTTCTCAATTATAAATAGTAAAAACCATTTAAATAATCTAGTTGAATATTAAATTGGCTTGAAAATTAGAGTGATCATAAAGTCTGATATTGATTTGTTTATAAGATTTAATTTTTGCTTTTCTTATTGTAGAATGCATATTGTCACAATAAAAAATCTCACAAAACCAGCTCAGTGCTTAATCTAGCTTTGACTGAAAAGGCAAGTTGTGAAGAGGATGGTGAAATCAGAAATAAGGAGACATACACAACTCCTAAAGAAAGACAATCTATAGCTTGAAAACAATGAAAGTCCTCATCTGCGAGCTTGAGAAAATGACTTCAGAAAATGAGGGTATCTTTAAGAGGGCCACTCCAGCTCACCATAATATCAGTATTAATGCTCATATTAAGAGTATCAATAATAATTAATAATTAATTATCAGTATTAATGCTCATATTAAGAGAGGCAATCCTTCAGAAAGTCAGGCCCCAAAAATCAAAGATTAAAATTAACACCTTAAATTAAATCTGGAAAGTGATTGGCAATTAATTATCACTGTGATTCCCATCAGATTTTATTCACTTTCTTATTTGATGAATAAATTAATACTTTATAAATGTTCTGATTGCCTTCTGGGAATCAGACTAGAAAAAATAAAATGCAGCACCATTTCAAACAAATTAGAACAACTGTATCATTAATAAATATTTGGATGTCTTACATATGCTAAACTATACAGCAACTGTTTAAATAAAACAGTTTTTTAAAAAAATTTCCCCAAAACTTAATAGGATTTTTTTTAATATTAAGAATAACCTATGCTTCTTAGCAAACACATTATATATTATTATAACAGCAAATGCATTTGTTGATATATTCTTAATTGTGGAAAATAATCTCCTCTTTTTTTAAAAAAAGCACTTGCACAAGAAACCCAGAATTAAAACAAGGAAAAAAAAACTATAAAAATTAGTAGAATGTCAATAAGGCACATGCTCTTTTTTACTTTATGCATACAAAGGCTGAGTTTTTAAAAGTTGTAAATTCTCAGATTGGCCCAATCTATATACTCGTGCAGTGAAAAGGATAGCTAGACTGCCAATAGGACTGAATTCTTCCTCCCCAAAACACATTAAGGATTTACAGCAAAGGGTGTTCACATCAATCAAATCTTCTTCCCTGTGAATTTTCTGCATTGTCTGCATGTTTTTCTATTCTCTCACATTAAAAAGGCAGCTTTAAAAAACCGACAACAAAAAGTTTTAAAATCTACAACATTTGTCATAAATGTAAACACACATACATAATGTCCTGTTCCTTTCTGGCATAAGCATCATTTATAAATCACAGGAAAGAAGGGGAAGAAGTAGAAAGTAAAATACATTAAAAACAGGAATTAAAAGCAGTCAATGTTGGTGGAGGCTGGAAGTTGAGCCTATGCCCCCTTCTCTGGCTCGCCCCACTCCTATTTAACATTTGCATGAAGCTGCTGGCTGATATTATTAGATGGGTGATGTAACATCATTACGCAGATGCTTCTCAGTTGTAACTCTATCTCGGGCCCAACAAGTAATGCTGTGAAAGTTCTGTGGCTATGAGGATTTATATGGGGAAGAATGGGCATCAATTTAGTCCTAGGAATGTGTAATGACTTTGGATGTTAGGGCCTCCTGGATCAGGTCATCCAGTATCTTTATTTCTAGATGGGACTACACTACACTGTGTAGAATAGACTATGCAAATTCTACACAGTTTTGTTTGAGGTATGACAGTTGTGGCCAGGAGGACTTTTCTCCAACTTCATTTTGGGTGCCAACTGTGCCCTTTCTTACATTAGGGTGTGTGTTAGGAATATAAGTCACCTAACAGGTATTTGGGTTAGAAATATATAAACCAGGATAAACATTTTAAAACTGTATCTTTAAGAAAATGCAAAACTGTAATTATGTGTGGTTTCTCAAACAGCCATAAGATGGAGCCAGAAACCTGGTTTGTCTTAGTCTTAGTCTCAGAAGAGAGTGTGTCTGAGTGAGTCTCTCTGTTTCCTTCTGTTGGAAAGTATTGCCATTCCTCCATTTCTTCTAATTGACTGCTATTTCTGGATTTGATGTAACTTTGTTACTGAACTGTTTTTGACACTGGAATTTGTTACTGAATTATCCCTGGATTGAAAACTGACTGATTTAACTTGTGAATGACTTTGGATTGCTTGTTTGGACTTTGCTTAACGTTTCTGGAAGTAAAAACCTACATTTACTGTACAGTATATCTGTGTGCTCTGTGTGTATTATTCCAACACTACTCTCTATACGTCTCCCTGTATGCGCTCATTCTCCTAATGGGGAATTACCTCAACAGGGTGCTCTGCTGGTGGTCAGCTGATGTCAACCCTATAGAGTAGACCCAACTGAGACACCTGTGCCTTATAGGTCTAATACTACTTTTATTAGAACAGCAATAAATAATAGACTCTTGCAAGTCTGAATATCCTTCCCTCTCCCCTTACTTATTCCCTAATGAAAGGACTACATATTTCAGATTTACAAATGTGTACAATAGCACTTCTCATATGTGTATGTATGTATGTATGTATGTGTGTGTATATATATATATATATATATATATATATATATATATATATATATAT